AGGGCGGGGCCGGCTGGGGGTGAGGAGGCGGGGCGGACGGAGGCCCAATACCGCGAGGCCTTGGCGTCCGGCCTTCTTTGGTCAGAGATCCCGCGAGAAAGGGGCGCGGGCGCCTTCAAGCCCCCAGCGGCGGCGACGGGGGTCGGACCTCCTAGTGGGCTGGCCGGTGAACCTGGTTGTAGGGCGTGCGCTCCTGCTTGCCAGATCGCGTTCCCATCCTCTCTTGAGTGCAAGTCTGAAGGGTCAGGTGAAGCCCCAAAAGAAGAAGGACACGGAGGCGAATAGGAGGCTGCTAACACAACCGAGGGGCGTCTGCGGCACCCTGTCTTTCCTCTGGGGGGACGCCTTGTCCGCTCGGTGACGCCGGGCGCCCAGCGAGTGGAAGGCAGGCTGGGAGCCCGTCCACGCGCCTGCAGCCTGCTCAGCAGCGTGCTCGGTGCGCGCGAGCAGGTGTCCACCCAGCCTTAGCGTTGCGTCCCACTCCTGTGGCTGCTGAGCGTTTTGTCTTTCGGCTAAATGGGGGGGTGGAGAACGGAGGATGGGCTCTCCACCCAGTCGGGATGTCCACACCAATTATCACGGTGTGCAATTTGAGTCCGTTCCTACCAGCTCCCCCACCTTTTTTTTTCCTTTTTACACAAAGCGTCGTGTAGAGAATCGTTATGCACACAATAGATTGATAATACATGTTTGTAAGGAAGAAGAAACTGCAGATTTCCATCGATGTATTTGATGATCAGATAAATACTTCTCCAAATGTTCATATTTTGGGGGGCTCTTTGGCTTTTTAAATCTATTTTGCTTGCTTACAATGTGCTGTATTAAGCACAGACTGAAATATATAATGCAAAAATTAGGATCCCTACCTCACAAGGCAGCAGTGGGGTGGATGTCACCCAGTGTAGCAACAACGGAACCCAACTGTGCTCTTGAAACCATACGACCAGAAACTCACTGTAATTGGGTGATATTGACAGCTCTGACAAGAGAAGCACATTTAGAACCAAGCCTACTGCCATGGAGTCCATTCCTTTCGGGGTAACTGCCCCGTTAAGGTTTCCAGGGTGCAAACCCACAGGCTTTTATCTTTCTCCTGCAAAGCATCTGGTGTATTCCAGCCACAATCCTTCATCTGCCCAATACTTAATCTATGCCACCAGGGCCCTTTACAAGATTCAAAACGTAAAGCAGCATAAAGCCTCTGTATTGATAGGGGTAAATGGAGCTTATGAAAAACGGGTTTTTGTTAAAACTATAGGGATATTATGTTTTAAAATTTCTGCAGAAACTGCTTGAAAATTTTAGTCATTTTGGGATTTGCCCTCTGATAGTGACTGCTCTGTGAGTACCACCCAGTACAGTCTGAATGCTCCCCATACCTCCCTAACTCAGACCACTGCAACCTCAAGGAACGCATCAAAGGCTGCATTTGCTGTTAATTCTAGAACAAAAGGTAAAAACCATGTGAAAGAAGCTAGCTCTGTCATTTACCATATGGTGGAGGGATCTATAAAGGTAGGGGTTTTATCTGTCTGCTCCATTTTTATCCAATACTGGAAGTACTTAGAGTATGAGACCTGCTTAATAAATACTTGTATAAATTAGTAAAGTGTAACGTTTCTTAACATGATCTTCTACACTATTTATTTATTCATCCATCCAACTCATAGTGACCCTCCCTCCATAGGATGTGTGAGGCTATAAAGAGTGATGGGAAGACACTGCCTGTCTTTCTTCAAAGAAGCCACTGTAACCAGAAATGGGTAGCGTTTGAGTTAACGACACAACTTGCTAGGGACTATGTCACTGAGGGGTCTTAAAAATATTTTAACAGCTACTATATGGTAAATTCATGTTTTGTGGTACTGACAAGTTTGGAAGCAGGAGTGGCATCCACTTCCTAAACAACATGTTTCCGGAAACTATGAACTTTGATAAGTGTCAGTAGTTGTAGAGGGCCTTCAGGCCTTTTGTTCATAGGGTCGCTATTAGTCGTGCTCAATTCGAAGGCAATCAACAACAACAACAACAACTGATTCCTACATTTTTCCCAAAGACCAAGCCATCTCCCTTGTATTTATATTTTCCTTTTCTCTTGCTCTAAATTACTCTGTATTTCTGTCTATTAAGTTCATCCTATAATTATCTACCCATTTCTACAACTTGTCAAGGTTATTAATAATCATTGTGACTCTTTAAACTCTCTCCAAGATTTCCAGTTCTCAAGTTATTGAGCTTACAATATGACTGATATTGTGCAATAGTTAAGTCCCAAGCTGATTGTCAGGGTGTCTAAATGATCTCTTGTTAAGCAGTTTTCTTGAATTTATGAGCTGATCAGTGGAATAAGTATACACCATCTAGTCTCTGGCTGAATCAAAAGTTGTCAGTAACTTTCTGGAATAGAAGATTATGTTTGATTTAGAACCACCACCAGTTAATTTAGGAATATGGTGTGAGTTATGCTCTGGATCAGGCCCCGCTGTTGTCTTATCTCTGCTTCACTTCAGTATTTCTCAAATTGTGAAACCAGAGGAAGTGGAATAACTGGAATAACAAGTAATAGGATTAACATTTGAAAATTCCTTATCTTGCCACCTTAAAGTTTCCAGTATGAGAAGAAGAAAAAAAAAAAAAACCACTATTAAAGAACTCGGAGTCAAAGTCTTCACAAAAATACTCATAAATCTGTCTCTCTCTCATTACCATCAAGTTGAGGCTGACTCATAGCAGACCCTCCACAGGCTCAGAGACTACAAATCTCACAGAAGATTTCCCATCTCTCTCCTGAGGAACTGCTGGTGAATTCAAACTGCCAAAGAGGTCCGGTGTTAGGTTAGCAGTACAACTCCCTACAGACTATGCCTCCAGAGCTCTTTATCCTCTAAGTAGACAACTAAATAACCCCATAGGAAGTTATTAACATTTAATAATACCATTCATGTGGGCTCTAGTGGTGCTGTGGTTAAAATGTTTGGCTGCTAACTGAAAAATCGTCCGGGAGAGCCCCACCAACTGGTACTCCATAGTAGAAAGATGTTGCTGCTTCCACAAAGGTTTACAGCCTAGAAAGCCAATAGGGTAATTCTACTTAGTCATACGGGTCATTATGAATTGGGATGGACTCAGAAACAGGGGGTTTGATTTGATTTATTCCATGCTGTAATCTATGCTCACCATCCCATGCAGTTTTTAAAATTAAAAAATAATAAGAGATGGGAGGAGTGACTAATTCCCACTAGCCTAATTCCATTTTTTTTAAAAAAAACATAAGATGGAGAGAGGTACCACTAGCTCTACAATTACTCTTTCCTCTCTTATTCTAGAATCAATTTCTCTTATTTATAAGCCCAACATCTCCATAAGACAGTAAAAGACATATGACTTGGACTTAGGAAAGAAGAGGAAACATGAAAAGAATTTCAGTCTGCTGAAGCATTATGAGCCAAACAACTTCAGTTATCTATCACTCACTCCCCAACCTAGCCATGTAACTACTCCAAAGATAGCATTTCAAATCCAGAGTCCCACGAAGAAGTTCATTTGAACTGCATGTATTCCCAATGGGAAGAATCTTAATCAGGTCAACTCTAAAGATTCAAATCTGTATTAGTTTGATGGAGGGAGCTCTGGGATATAGTCCATTGTGAGTTGAGTTGTGATACTAACCCAAAGGCCACTCTCTCAGGTGGTGCAAATCTACCAGCAACTCCATGGGAGAAAAATAAACAGTCTCCTGTCATTGAGATTTATAGCCTCAGGAAACCAATGGAGGTTCGCTGTGAGTTGGAAACAACTCAAAGGCAGAGAGTTGAGTTATTGGCATAATGAGTAAGCAGAGATAAATTAGTATTACAGGCTTGAAGGATGATTCCTTTTGGTGATAGAACTAATCACTAACTCACTCATTGCTGCCATGTGGGAACCTACTCATAACTGACCATCCAGCAGGTTTTCAGAGGCTATAAGTGGCACATAAGGAGATTGCCCATCTTTCTCCTGCAGAGCACTGATGTCATTGTTAGGTGTCATTGTGTACAACTCATAGCGACTATATGAACCACAGATGTGAACTCTATCCTATCCTATGCCATCATCATAATTTCTGAAATACTTGAGCCCATTGCTACAGTCACTGGGTCAATCCATTTGATTGAAGGTCTTCCTCTCTTTTGCCAACCCTCCACCTTTCTAAGCATGATGTCTCTCTCAAAGGAATAGCCTCTTCTAATAACATGACCAAAATGTCTGAGACAAAACATTGCCGTTCTTGCGTCCACGAAGCACTAGTGGATTGAAACAGCCTGCTTTCTGACTGACAACACATCTCGTAACCCACTAGGCTAACAGTGAACATATGAACAATATTTAAATCTTCATTTTTGAACTAAAATTGAATTTGAACAGATACAAAATTTAACGTGCCTTTGAAATTGGGCTGTTGTTATTAGGTGCTATTAATAGACTGACTTGCTCTGTTGTTCATTGGCATTGCGTTGGAATA